AGTAAATATCTGGTGACTTCTAGGGCTGAGCCTGAAAGAACAGAGAAGCTGAGGCTAGCATTGAATGTATGCATCAAGTACATAAAGTGGTAAATGAGAGAATCTCTGTCTCCTTGAGATTTATACTCTAGAAAGATTTATACTCTTAGGAAGGCAGATTATGCACATAGAAGTGTGCTACAGCTTGCCCAATATTGACACATAAAGACTAAAGGCATTACAGTGTGGATGTTGTGAGAGCTCAGAGGACTGCTGTGGGCTTGGGCAGTTGGGGGAGAAAGAGGTGGTTTTGAGCTCAGCTTTTCAGAGAGAGTAGTCCCGAATGGTTGAGTGGTTGAACATGTGTGTGAAGGGAAATCAGAAAGGTAGAAGGGAAAGACAGATGAGATGGCTTCCTTCATAGTCTGGGACATCTATAGACTCCTTGCATTTCCTCATCCCTCCCTATCAAGTGATAATACTCTATTTAAAGGAAGAAGATTTGAACGAATAAAAGGAAGATCAATGAAAGGAACAATTCTATTGTAGTGCCGGGGTCCTTTTATTTCTATGTATATATTTGCTATATCAATGTAGAAGTTATGAAGAAAAGAAAAATGTAGATTCTAATCATAATCATGATGGTAACTAAAACGCAAGTGCAGTTTAAGAGTAGCAGGTACATCATCGATTCGAATTCACTTCAGGCACAAAGTCAAATATTATAAAAAGAATTTTCTGGACATGTGCTCAAGTCAGAAATTACATTAAGGAATTAGTTATTAAGCACCAGGACAAATCTATTCACATGTCAATCTTTGCGGTCATCTGTCATATTGCCAACAAAGACCTCCACATCATCACGTGGACAGAAGGGAAAAAATTTAATACGGGAAATGATGAGTACATCTTCTGTAAGATATCAAAGACCTCAGAGATCTTTCCTGGAATCACTGAATGATTTCCATCTTCTTTGTGAGCAGTACCTCTCTAGGAAGGTACTAGTTGATGTCATCTGGACTGTAGAGTATTATTAAAGAAGAGTTCAACTCTTTTTAACAATAATATTTTTATCACTTGAAATATTCAAGCCAGGTGTACAAAACTTACATCATGCTATCTCTTTAATTTCTTACATACCCATAGCAAAATTTCCCTAAATTCTCATCTTGGAAAATGACACCATCAGCTATCCAGTGACCTAGACCAATAATTCAGATTCCTATATTTTTTTCCTCACTGCAATTCCTCTTCTTTCATTTTCACTCCCTTAGCATTTTTCCTGTCTGTGTCTTCCACCCTATCCCTACCACCACCATTAATCAGGTTCCCCATTGTACAACTGGAATATTACACTCTCTTAACTGGCCTCCTTTGCTCTCCTCTAACCTATTTTCCATAATGAATCAGGAGTTGTCATTCAAAAGTACAATTCTGTTCATGGTATTCCCAGTATAATCAATCAACTGGTCAATCAATCTTTCACTACTGCTAGGACAGGGTTCAAATAATTCCACTGTCATAGAAAAATCATGATCTGACGCCTGCTTACTTCATGAACCTTATCTCTTATCATTTCTCCCATTTCTTATCTCACAGTCCAGCCAGGCTGAATTGTCTTTATGATCTCTGAATGCATCCCATTCCTTTGTCCAGGCTGCTGTTGTGTAGAATGTGTAGAATGTTCTCTTTAGGAACCATGTGTCCCTAGTCAACAAAGTCCACTTTCTTTTTCAGATTTATTTATTGGGGCACCTGGGTTGCTCAGGTCAGGATTCAGGGGCCTGGGATTGAGCCCCATGTGGGGCTCCCTGCTCAGTAGGGAGTCTGCTTCTCCCTCTCCCTCTGCCCCTCATTCCACTCATGCATGCATGCTCTTTCTCTCAAAGAGAGAGAGAAAGAGAAAGAGAGACAGAAAGCATGAGCAGGAGAGGAGCAGAAGCAGAGGGAAGAGAGAATCCATAAGTGCAGAGCCCAATGCTGGGGCTCCATCCCAGGACCCTGAGATCATGGTCTGAGCCGAAACCAAGAGTCAGTCGCTTAACCAACTGAGCCAATCAGCATCCCAACAAAGCCCACCTTTGAAAGTTCAGCTGAAGGGACGCCTGGGTGGCTCAGTGGTTGAGCATCTGCCTTTGGCTCTGGGCATGACCCTGGGATCCGGGATCAAGTCCCACATTGGGCTCCTGCATGGAGCCTATTTCTCCTTCTGCCTATGTCTCTGCCTCTCTCTCTGTGTCTCTCATAAATAAATAAAAAACCTAAAAAAAAAAAAAAACCAAACAAGAAAGTTTAGAGTTCAGCTGAAGAATTATTTAGGAATGCCTTTAAGAGGAATCATTTCTAAACAGTGCTCCCCTAAACCTGTACAGTCTTCTGGCATCACCTATACCCATTGTGCTTTCTGGTTTCCATGTCTGTCTTCCCTTCTAGACTGAAGATGAGGGATGATGATGCCATATTTATTCTTGTGCTATATTCATATTTGTATTGTCAGTTGGTTCCATATTAGGCTCTGCCAAAGAGAGCACTAGAAAGAAGTTACTAGACTGGAGGAAGAAAGGACTTGCTCCTTCCTGCCTGCTACATTCTGGCTTCCTGTCTGCTTCTTGTTCCTGTGAGCAGCCTCTAGCAATACTTCCTAGCCTTCCTGAAGTAGAAGCTGAAACCCATTTGCAATTTCTCCACCCCTTGCAGAACCAGCATTGTTGTGTCCTTTAAAGGGACACCAGTTTGAGCCAGCATCCCCTCCTTGGAGGTCTGAGTCCCAGTCCCCAGCGAATTCTTCTCCAAGCCTTCAAGTTTGAATAATTCCAATTTCTTTCTCTTTTCTTTTCCTACTTCCTGCAGTTGGCTCCCTCCATGGTCCTGCAGAGTTCTCTTTTTCACTTTTAGTGATCTAGTTAACAGTCATATCTGGTTAACTATTCCCTATATTAGGTTTTTGATGTGGTTTCCATTTTTGACTATACCATGACTGATACAGTTGCTGAACCAAAGAATTCCTTTAGTGTGAGGATGTCTGATTCAGACTTCTTCCCATAACAATACTGATGGATTATAAATGTTTTATAAAACATTGAGCCATCACAAAGAATTTACTTCCAGGGACGCCTGGCAAGCTCAGTCGGTAGAGCACACAACTCTTGAACTTTGAGTCGTGAGTTTGACCCCTACATGGGGGGTAGAGATTACTTATAAAAATAAAATCTTAAAAGAAAATTTTACCTCTAAAACATTCACTGAATTAGCAATGTCTTTGCAGGTAGCTTTATTCAATACACCTTCACTCTCTAGGTTTTTGTTTTTTGGGTTTCTTATTTAAGATTTTATTTATTTATTCATGAGAGACACAGAGAGAGAGGCAGAGACATAGGCAGAGGGAGAAGCAGGCTCCCTACGGGGAGCCCGATGCAGGACTTGTTCCCAGGACTCCAAGATCATGCCCTCAGCCGAAGGCTGATGCTCAACCACTGAACCACCCAGGTGCCCCTCACTCTCCAGGTCTTAAACTTGGCATTGTTGTTCAGAGAACACCTGGCTAATTCATGTTGGTCACTTGCCCAGGGACCTAGACCAAACTCTGTGTGACTAGTCCCACCCTGGACCAACCATACTCTTTCTTCTCATTTCAGCCCCATTACGACTGAACCTATCATCTTGAGCATCTGAATAGATTCTCTGCTGGTTTGTCATTTGTATATGTTTTCTGCTCTTTCCTCTCCCAGCCTGAGAGCAGGATTATTTCAGCTGCTTCTGTGAATCCCCCAAAGCTCAGTAAATGTTATATAAACAAAAACATGAAGGAATGAAGTGGATTAGCAGGGAAAGGGAAAATTCATTGCATTCAGTTATCACTTTTTATTGATTGGAAGACCTTGGGCAAATTAGCACTTGATAAAGATTGTTGATTAATCACTCACCAGTAGAATGTATAACCCCAGTTTCTTGAGAGTGCTCCTGACTGCTTTAATATTATTATTTGGATCTAGATTTCTTATAGGAAACATTATTTTAATTTCTATTAATAGTGACAGAGGAGCTCATAGTAGGAAAAGCACGAGCTTGGAGTCAGAAAAAACTAGGTATAGATTCTGAATCCACCACCTGTATGAACTTGGGGGTAAATTACTTAAGCTCTTGGAAGCTCAATATCCTCTCTGTAAATTAGAATAATAATCATTATCATTATCACGTATTCGTTGCTTTATGCCAGATATGTTCCAAGTGTCATACATATATTAACTAATTTAATCCTTACAATGACCCAGTGAGCTATTTGCTATCATTACCTGTATTTTATAGACAAGAAGACCAGTCTCAGACAGGTGAAATAGCTTGTCTCGGATCATCCGGCTAGGAATTCTTGGGGCCCAGAGGTGGAACCAGGCAGTCTAGCTCCGGAGCACATCTTCCTACCCATCTGCTCTCTTGTCTCTTTCCTTTCATGATTACCAGGAATCTCATTCAATAAACTAATATATGTTGAGGGCATGACCCATATAAGTGCTGCATAAATAGTGCTATTCTGACACCCTGGAAGGGGATTTGAAAAGAACTTGGATTCAGTAGCATAAGTTCAGGTTAGATTTACCATTGAAATGACCTAGCTGGTATGAACTGTTATTTTTATTACGAACAATTTGGCAATAGCCTCAGTCTCAAATAGTAGTGGAACATTTTCCTACCACCCGTAGTGGTCAACGTGATGAAAGGTATCTAGTTATGTAATGTTTATTCTGTGTTCTGTTGCTAAGGAAAAGGCCATATAGTCAGATCAGGACAGTTGAGCCACGTGAAGGTGGCGTCCTGAGCAGCCTTCTCTAAACTAGCACTCACTGCCTTTACCCAACGCTGCCTCTTCCCAGCACCTATCAGTGCCTGACATAATAAACTTGTTTGCGTGTTGTCTGTCCTCCCACCAAAATGTAGGCTCCGTAGAGTCCAAACTCATCTGTTTGGTTCCCTGCTCCATGCTCTTTGCCCAAACCAGGGTCCTGCCAAGGGTGGGGCCCCAGTACCTGTTGCACAAACCATGGAGAGTGTCTTCGGTACCAATTTTTCAGCAAACACAGGACGATTCTTCATGTGCAGACCCATTTCTGACAGGTCTTGAGGATGTAAAATGCAACTCAGAGCAGGCAGGTCCAGAAACAGTACAGAATCAGAGATTTCCTTTGGTGCTCCAGTCAGGCTGGGTTCCAGAAGGGGCTGCCAGACAGCAGCTCTCGGAGGACAGGCGAGTGAAACATGGGAGGTAGTGCTGATGTTAGCACCTCGAGTAAGTCCAATTGGAGACATTCCTCGCAGAATCTTGTGCCGGGAGAAATGGCTCTCTCAAAAAACAACGAGGACTGCAAAACTCTGCAATGCGCTATTTTAAGCTTTGGCTGCTTGGAAGCTGAGGAGCTGAGGACCAACCTTAATGCTCAGTAGTAGCGATAATGGCTTGGCCACAGTTTTAATATCTTTCTCTGTCTTCTGATATAAATATTATATTTATCATATTTAAAATAATAAACAATAAATATTTGCCATGTATATTTATTATGCTTAACATAATAAATAGATTTGATACATATGATCTATGCAATCTGTTTTTATTTTAATACATTTATTATATATATTTCTCTTATAGGAAACCATCTCAAAATTTAAAAGTAGGATATAAATGTAGATACTACATAAAAAAGAAGTCAGAGAAGTCCTGAAGAAATCCAGGCACAGCAGGTCAGGATGATGGCCCTGAAAGAACCCTTCCATTCCTAGTGCCCTGCAAGGCAGGGACTTCTACTCCTCTCTTCATCATCACCCTGCCTGCCCAAATCTTGTCCCAAACTCTGGATTGGTAAGGAACGTTCCCATTTAGCACATTTATCTTCTATCTCTTTTTCTACATCACCAGTACCAGCCACACGTACTGCAAATCTGATCCTGTGCTCTTCCATTTTACCTTCTTCGGGACCCTCATTGGTCAGCAGAGAAAAATGCACTGGGGCAAATAAACTCTCCAGCCACACTCCACGTCATGTCCCTCTCTAAGTTTATGTTTAGTCAATGTGATTCTGTTTATAAAAATGTATCAGATATCTATTATATGCCTGGCACCATGTCCTGGGGTCACAGAACAGTGAGGCTTAGCTCTCTCTGGGAAGTCCACTTGACACCCTTGCCTTAATTACTTCTCATGTATCCTACCTTGTGTATCCCATGTATTCTTTGATTATTTTGCTCCAATTCACACTGTTGGACAGAGACTTGCTAAGGTTTATGGCTTCTTTCCTCTGCTTGATTCTGAGTTCATGGAAAGCAGGAGACATCATTCATTCATCTCCATGACTTCCGAGTATAGGGGCTGGCACACAGTGAGTGCTGATACACATATATGTGTGTATCTAATGATTTTTTAACTGAGGAAGTGAAAGACATGAGAAAGAACCCCCAGGACAGTACCTTTTACACAGCATGTACTCACCAAATGTTTGTTTATTGGAAGAGAATGAGGGCCTGAGATACCCAGTAATGAGTAAGGGAAGGGTGGTGAGTGGGATGCATGAGGAACAAATGTCATGTGTATCAGAATCATGTGTTTTGGAGGAAGAACAGAGACTGAGCTTTTGAATGTGTGTATTTATTCAGATTCAATAAGTCTGTCTTTCTTTCTTTCTTTCTTTCTTTCTTTCTTTCTTTCTTTCTTTCTTTCTTATCACCCAGGTGCCCCTCAATAAGTATTTCTTAAACATCAACTATGAATAGGAAAGATGACTGGGCAGCTAGGGTTGGAGCAACAGTAAGCATGATGAGAACTTGTGAAGCACTATTGCATTAAAAGCATGGACCCTGGAACCAGATGAACCCTGGGCCAGTCTTGGCTCTACCAATTTGCTAACCATGTAACTTTGGGCAAGTTACTTAATCTTCCCAAACCTCAGTTCCCTGTATGAAATAAGAATAAAAATGACCTAATCCACAGATTTTATAAGTTTGCAATGAGACAATTCATCTGGTACATAAGGTACATAGAAAGGATGCCACAAATAAGCATTAGCGGTCAGCATCAATAACCAAATAAGAGATAAAAACTATGTCCCAGATTTAGCTTCTAATTCACAGAAAGAACCAGAGTAATTTTTCATGTGAGCATAAAAATATTTACGAAACACCATGATGCTTAAGTTGAGCCATGTGAAATGATCAATATCCAATTGTTTTTTGACTTATTAAAACGGTAATATCTTTTTATGACCCAACATTTCCTATAGGGTCCAGTTGGTCATGGGCTGTTCGCAGGCACATTACTTAATTTCCTCTGTCGACTCTGACCTCTTTCCTCTCAGCCAACTTGTTCATTTATGCTTGTTTACAAGGCATGCCCTGCTCCCTTCCAGAAAGGACCCGAGGAGGCTCCACTTCCGTAGCCACGAGGCTGTCTGTGTAGTTCATTTGGCAATTAATCATGGGCCACCCTGTGACAAATCCTCTGTTGCCTTGAACTGTTATGTAAATCTTGTACTGGTTTTAGCTTTGCTGGTCAAAAGCTGTTAATAGGGAGAGAGAACTCAGCCACCTCCGAAGCAGACCAGAGAAAGTATCCAGTGTGTGGCAGGGCACTGACTTAAGGAGCTGGGAATGGGAGTCTGGTGAGGAGGACATGCAAGAGCTGTCACCAGCATCCAGACAATGGCCCAGGGGAGGAAAAGGACTTCTTCTCTTGGACTTCAAGATGTAAAGAGGTGGGATTCACCAGGATAGTCTTGAGCAGGGGGGTGGGAGGTCCCTCGTCTCTTTTAAGGAGAAAAGAGAGCCTTTGTTAAAGAGTGATATGCAGAAGACAGCATAGCAGATCGGTAGAAAATGGACTTTTTAGACATCAAGCTGCTCAAGGGGATCCGGCACTTTGTGAAAGGTGGAAAATGAGTGGACCAGAAGATGCTGTGTATCCAACTCTTGCCTTGTTTTCTAGTTTTTAGACTGTTGATTCTGGGCTGCCCTGTGTGTACATCCTTGTTCTCTGGGTGGTGGGTGCACCTCTTCCCTCACCCCACCCCCAGTCTCAAGGGCTATGGAACAGGGGACCTCTGGCCCAGAAAACTGCACAGGACAGCACCAAGGAGCAGGGTGGGGCCAGGAAGGCTGGATGGAGACAGGTCAGATGATCCTACTGATTCATTTTCAGTGTCTGAGTTTAGATCTTTCTTTCTTTCTTTCTTTCTTTCTTTCTTTCTTTCTTTCTTTCTTTCTTTCTTTCTTTCTTCTTTCTCTTTCTCTCTTTTCTGATTTTATTTATTCATGAGACTCCCAGAGCCAGAGACACAGGCAGAGGGAGAAACAGGCTGTCTGCGGGGAGCCCAATGTGGGACTCGATCCCAGGACTCTGGGATCATGACCTGAGCCAAAGGCAGACCCTCAACCACTGAGCCACCCAGGCGCCCCTAGAACCTGCCTCTTAAACCTTGCCCAAACCTCCTTTTAGCTACTGATTTCACGCCCTCCTGCATGGCTGCCACAGCCACACACGGCCATGGCTTAGAAATGCTACATATGCTCCTCCTAATTAATATGTGATGCAGCGTCTCACACTTTCAGGGCTGTCTCCCTGTAGAGTGAAAAGCAGATGACAAGGGAGCTTTTTGTCTTTCATATGCCATCTAGACTGTGACATGCCCCAGTGGACAATCCAGGCAGCAGTGGGTCTCTCCCTTTGGTGAGAGATGTGACATGTGTCAGAAAAGTGAGCTGGCTCCCTCTTCAAAAGCCTGCTTCTTGCCGAGTGTCTGGGAGAGCTACCAGGTGGCTCACTTTGTCTGATGGGCGAACAAAGGTGAGGGAAGTCTGCCCCAGCTGACCCCAGAGCAGCAGCCCTTCTCAGCAAGGGAGCTGGATATTAAAGATCCATGCCTCCTGGTCTCAGCCTGACACCCAATTTAAACTGTGGCCTTAAGCCAGTTGCCAAACCACCCTCTCTACCTCTCCTTCCCCAGTTGTAAAATAGCAGTCCTGAAGTTTGTTAATAGTCCTGGGTAAGAGTTAATAACATGAATGGTGACATACATCAGTCAATATTACTCGAAGCTGATACCAATGACGGTTTTGCAAACATAAAAGTGCCCTAGGAAGCAAAGATTGTCTGATTCTTCTGAGTGATTTCCATAACGTTGGGCTGGCTCCCAGATAATATTATGGAACTGTTACACAAAGGGGCTGATATTTGCACTTTATCCTCTTAGCTCATCCTACTTTATTTGTATTTAGAAGGCTGTGTAAGGGGACACCATCAATATCCCATTAGTCACAACCAGGCAAAAGGTTTCTCTATGTCAGGGTATGTCTGTCTGTCAGCGTCATGGCAACATCAGCATGGCATCCCAACCAGGATGTCAGGGGATTGGGCTTCATCCCATCGCAGACTACAGTGGATCATTAACAGACCGGGAGGCTCCCAGTCCAAGATTCTAGCAAACTCCAGAAGTTGAATGCAGATTTTGACAATCTAAAGCAGAGATATGCTCCTTGAGGAGAGAAACATATGCAAGAAGTTCAAAGGCTTTTGTCCCTAGTTTTTTTAAAGTTCAAGAAAGTCTGCTGCTGAATTTAAATTAGACAATTCTTTTTTTTTTAAGATTTTATTTACTTATTCATGAGAGACACACACACACACAGAGGCAGAGACATAGGCAGAGGGGGAAGCATCTCCCTTGGGGGAACCCGATGTGGGACTCGATCCTAGGACCCTGGGCCAATCACCCCGTGAGCCAAAGGCAGAAGCTCAACCACTGAGCCACCCAGCAGCCCCAAATTAAAGAATTCTTTCCAAGGCTCGAGTTATTTATGTACTCAATAATCTCTTACTGAGAATGTCCTATAGACTGTGAGCACTTCTGAGATGCTAAGGATGAGCAAACTGCGATGCCTGAATGCAAAGAGCTTACAGTCCAGTGAAGAGGACTGACAAAGATAGACAATCTTAGAACAGGGTGGCATGGGCCTTGTGCGGGAAGCATCCAGATGCAGTGGGAGGAATGACTCCTCGCCAGAGATCACCAGGCAGCTCCACCTGGTTAACTTCTTTCTCTCTCTCCTGAGACTAAGAGAGAGAGAATTGATGACAACCAATGCTTATCATGAAATGAGGTTGTAAGTATAAACTCACAATGATCTAGAAAAGGGAAATGCCTTCAGACAAGAGATTCAACAAATCAATGGAAGAAAGAAAGTGGATAGGGGATCCCTGGGTGGCTCAGCGGTTTAGTGCCTGCCTTTGGCCCAGGGTACGATCCTGGAGTCCCGGGATCGAATCCCACGTCGGGCTCC